AAAAAAAAAAAAAAAAAATGGGGGATAAAATAGGCCTATGAGACAAAGACTATTAATTATAACGAGATAAAGTTATAAAATAATTTAAAGCTTTGATTTTGTTTATCACACTGTATTGTAATAAGTAATGTACGAAAATTCAGATTTCTATTTGAAAAAGTCCTTATCTCATAATCCAAACTGCATTACTAAACTTATCGCTTAGTTTGATCAGTAAAAGAAAGGTATATTACTATATGTATTTGAGATGAATAATCCTAATAATTTTTTGAAAAATGTGACTTTTAGTATATAATTTAACAATTCACCATATAAATAATAATCTATCATTTCGTTTTGATTCGGCATTCTAAAATTCTATATTTATTCACGAAATTAAATTGATAAGACCATGTGATAGATAATAATTTATAATTTTACAAAAGCTTTTACTTTAGAAGCTGAGATAAGCTAGAGAGGAGAGTTATCTAACTGTGGGCGTTGTAATTATACCTTATCGGAGTGCATCGAGCTAGCAGCGCGACTTCTTAGTTATTTACGAGGTAATTTCTTACTTAATTTAATAAATAAACTAGCTTTTATTATAAGTTTATAATTTTTATGTAATTATTAATTTCTAAAATTTTGGATTATTTTAAACTCCAAAAAAATTTTTAAGTGATCTTTGAAAATATTTATAATTAATTATCATTCATTAAATTATATTGTTATGCAAGTTAATTTCTGTTATGTATTCATTTCTATTTATTTTTATAACTTGTTTTTTATTAAAGATACAAAATTAGTTTACGTCATATGATAAGGCAGATAAAAATTGTACATGATCTCCTATTGTTGAGTAACATTTATGTGTAATTAACGCTTCAGAGCATAAATCGTATTATAAGCTAAAATTTGTTAACTTTTATATTTACTTGTTAGAAACATCAATGATGTCGATGCGAGTGACACAAGGTAAAGATTATTTCGATCCTTCCGATGGGTAAGTAATAACGTCTTTTATCTTAGAAAATTTAATTATTTAATCTTATATATAACCTAATAGTTATAACGATACAAAATCTTGCTAAAATATTCAACGAATAATAATTCATTGTTTTTTACTCTAGGTTACATTAAATTTTTATGATAACCTAACCAGTTATTTAAATTTTAGGGCTTATCACACTAGTGAATATGATATTACAAACAAATATAGTTTATTTTATATCTAAATTTTAAAATTAGTATAGAATGAAAGTTTACAATGGTTGAATCTTAAATATATACTAATATACCCAAAATGCATTTCGGACTCTTTTTGAGTCCGTCTTTAGTTGGTGTTTTTATAAAAATTATTTTGTTTTAAATATACATGAAAAGTTACATTTCAAAAGTTTAAATAATGACGAAGATATTAAATTAAAGAAAGCGATGTTTGATCGTATGTACTGTACAATAGATTCAATCTTTTTTCTGTCTGTTTTCTTTATAATAAATTCAACCGTGGACAGCATGTTGAGGCCTCTGGAGGATTGACGAAATTATTACAGCAAAACAAAAAAAAATTAGTTACTATAGTATACACATTAACCTTGTTCCAGTTACTAATTGTAAATCTGTATGGCTCAATGGCGTGCCGTTCATGGAAGCTGTGGAAGCGCCGCTTCCATTGTATTTTCTAAAATATAAATACATATTGTGCGATTATTTTCATATTTTAACGTATCTGAACTAATTTTTATTATAATCTGAACTAATATTTTATTATAATCACATTATTTATTTTATTACAGATTTATACACATGTGAAAAACAATGATAAGATTCAAACTTATATTCAAAATCTTAAATGCATAAAATCAAAATTCGTATATGCATATTCTCAATGGAAGCGCTGTATTGTCGAATACGGGACAGCTTCCACGGCGAAAACATTTGAATGGTGTAAAGCAGCCAGATTACAGGCATTAGCACATGCGATTTACAGAGCATCAACCTCTGGCGGTTTAGTTGGTGGAAACTACACATTAAAATATCGTATAACGCTTCCAATGATTCTATGCATTAGCCACTGGTAGGGAGCTATTTGACTAAGTGCATTAAGATTTAAAAAGTAAAAAATATTTTATGTTATTTTTATGTACGTTTTTTTACAAAGCTATATTTAATTATAATTTTCTTTTAATTATAATTACATTGACAGATTTTCAGACATAAAATCTTTAGAATTTTTATCACTTTTAGATGTTAATAATTTTAAATATTATGAAAAACAATTTTCCGAAGCGAATTTTAATTCTTTAAGTAAATTTTATGTAAAATTTCTTTGATTTATCTAAATTACATAGTGAATTGCAATATTTATATTCTCGTCCAGACTATATTGGCAAATCACTCTTAGACATAAAAAATATAGTTAATGACAATCCGAACAAAGATCTACTAAAAGAATTATATGATTAAATATTAATTTTTACGGTACCATCTACGAGTGCGATTGTTGAGCGCAGTTTTTCAACCACGAAGCGAATTGATACATTGGCAAGAAATACTCAGTCGGAGGAAAGATTGTCATCACTAGTGTTGCTTTCGATAGAAAAAGAGCTTTTAAATACCTTGATGGAATCGACGACCAGCGATTTTTATGATAAAGTAATTAACGACTTTGCGGAAAAAATTGCCGAATAGGGTAAACTTGTTTGAATAGTAGAACTTGTTTTCATTATAAAAAAATAATGAAAACAAGTTCTTATATCTTTGTTTCATGTAAATTATCTATTTTAGAATTAAAATAAGTAAACTGTTTATTTTTGTCATTTCCAGTATTTAAAATTTTTATGGAAACGCAGCTTCCCTATCATCAAATGTCACAGCGTGCACTGGTATAAAAAAGGCCCTCTTAATGTCTACGGGGTGGAGAGACTAAAATGCAAGGAATGCGTACAACATAACGTTTCCACTAGAAATTTACTTCTGATGAAAATATTATATTACTTTTTTAAATATAAATTTGGGTAATGGTGTGCGTTGCTTTTTTTTTTACGTGAAGATGTGCCCACCAGTTGCCAAGTGGATAAAACCACTAAACATTGATCGTGGGTTTGCGCCTGGACAACGGGCTGGCATGTGGAGTTTTCTTCTGGGTTTTCTTCACCTTAGTAATACATAAATAGGGTCCTGTTTCCCTTAAAAATCTCTTTCGGGAGGCATTTCTCCTCGGAAGATCTCCCATATACAAATAAAACAAGCAATTATTTATTGCGAAATCGTCACATCGTCACATTCCTGTACTGCAATTTTTAATCATATTTTTTAAATTTATTTAATTTAAAATATATGCTCTCCACCCCAAATAAGTAGTGGCTTGCCCCCTGCATATCACACTTTTCCTTTAACAATAGAGTCATGCCGATGCTCTGACACCTTTCAGGGGAAATTTTTGAGTTGAAAAACGTGACTTTCGATGCAAATAGGAAGATTTTACATAGTTAATCAGGGCTTCTGACCACTAAGTTTCCATTTATGATCTCGGATTTTATTTTTCTAACACCGTTCTTGAGATTAAGGAAAGACAGACAGACAACGGACGACAGTGTGAATTTATAGGTCTACAATTTTTTCAAATTTCAGTCCAACAAACGTGTTAGACGTATCAATTACATATGATCTAATAAGCAAAATTCAACACACATTGGTACTGTACATCGTATTCACTATAAGTTTTAAGAGGAAGAGGTTCCGTTTCGATATTGCACTCTATCACTCATGTACAGTATCTATTTCTTAATTCTTGTGCAAATTAATACAACATCTAGGCTGTAATTCAGCGAAAGTCGAACATATCTAGCCTAATATTCATTTCCCTGATTACTTCATAGAATATGTAATCTAATATTCATTTTCCTGAATAGTTCATAGAATAATTAGGCAAATATCAACATTAACAGGTATCCAGGCTCACCTATTTGTACCTCACTCAAGCAAGGATAACAACATATTTGACTTCTAACTTGGATAATCATGTATAAATAAAATCCTATCATTTTATCACAAAAAAATATGATTTATAAATTCTTACAAATTACCTTATCATCAGACGAATTTCTTTTAATATTTAAATTCAATTATAGTTTTTCATATATTTCGAAATTCTAATTGTTTTATTTTTCATTAAATCTAAGAAATTCCAACTCCTGTTTGCGAAAACTTATCCCACTTGTACTTCAACTTGGAGTACAGTACACGAACCCCCGGGGTGTAAGACTTCTCCAGATACTTTTTCTAGAGGATAAAAGTTTTTTATTGAACTTTTAAAATCTTTTCTTTGCCTATTTCATTGAAAACTTGGCATTTTTTAAAATAAAATCTTAATTAAAATTTACCAGTAACAAATTTAAATTCATAATTACGTGTTTTTTCCTAATCTCTAGCCTAAATCTACATGCTATATTTAAGTATAGATGTATCTAAAGTTAGAGTAAATTCACCTGAGGAAATGAGTCTTCTTGGGAGGGGGGTGCAAGAGGATATTTTAAAAGTTCAAGTTGGTGTGGGCAGAGGTAAAAGGTTAAATAGAGATCAGTTTACTATAGAAAGTCCTCTTGACAGGCGTGTGCTGTCTTGCCTTCCCCTAGAAATTAACATATTTTAAATAAAAAAGTGTATTAGTTCATTTATTTTTGAAGTATTTTTATCCTATCACAATTATTGATCAAATGTACAAGATTAATTAAAACATAATTAAAATAAAATATGATTGTAATTGTGTTTCAAGTAATAAATAAGGAAAAGCTTTATTTTGGGTTAAGGGCAAGATTTTTTAAAATTGTTAATATCAATTACAAATAAAATTTTCCTCAGGTCTGATCCCACTGAAGATATGACCTCTACCCCATCTCCCCCTTGTCTTATAACCTTCAAAGTGTCCCGTACATACATATAGTCAATGCCACATATATATTCCTGCCAAATTTCAAAATCTTTGGTCCGTGAAACCGGAGATGTAGAGCAAAATATAGGCTAATACACGCACACAAACAGAATTGTTTTACTCTTTTTTCGATATTTTTCAAATCAGAAACCTTAAAACTTCGAGAAATGCAGAGGGAAAAAATCTCCGGAGGGTCAAAATTTGACCGATTAAAATAAAATGATTTACTATAATGCAGTAAAACTTGTCTATAACAGACACTCTATAAAACGGAAACGTGACTAAATAAAAAATAAATCTCGGAACGGAACTTCCGTGTTAGACAGATTTCTGACTTATGACGTGTAAAATAACGTCATAAGCCAGAAATCTGTCTAACACGGAAACGAAAATTTGTTTTTCTTGTTTTTGATACCGATTGTATAACATAATACGAGTTTACTATGTTACAGAACTCAAATTCTAAATTATAATTTAAAACAATTCCAAGGATTTTGGAATTTTACGCAGATTTTTATTTCGCATACGCATACACGTATACACGTTTCAGTTTTTTAAACGTGTCTTTGAAATCTAAAACATCGATAGCATTGTGTCCTCCAGTGCCTAGTGAATAAAAACCACTGGATTCTGGTAGTTGCACGTCTGTTTGCGCCTGACCCGGTAAACTCCACGTTGCGCGTGGAGTTTACCGGGTTTTCTTCGCGTGTATAACACCTAAATAGGGTCCAGTTTCTCATTGAAAGTCCTCTTGGGAGGCACACCCCTTGGCACATCGCCCATGTGTTGCGTTGCCTTATTCCATTAATCCTATTCAATTCACTTACATTGTTGGAAAAGCATTACTAAATATTAAATGTAACATTTTTTCCGACTTTTCTTATTTCTGCATTAGTAAAAACTCTATAAAATGGAAACCTGCCAAAACGGAAAATTCTGATCAGTATCATCGCGTTTCGGTTTAGACAATTTACTGTATTTTAATTGTTAAATATTTATTTCAAATTATAATTTTTATGTTAATTAATTAAAAGCCAATTAAT